GTTTGTTCAGCTTGTGGTGACAGTGCTTGTAGAATGTTTCTGCCTTTGTCCAAAATTCGGGTGACCTTTTTGAATTGTTTTGCAGTGAAGTCGGATTTGCGGTGGTGTGACTGTCTCCTGACGGGGTTGTGGTGAGACTGTAAGTGTTGCCGTAGTCACTCAGTCATCTGGCTGATGATCGCCACGAGATTGGCCAAAGCCGGTGTGCCAAATTTGTCTATAGCTTTGGGTGGCACTCCCCATGCTACTGCAGCGGTTTGCAGTGTTTGTTTCTGCGAATCGCTCAGAGTTGGAAACTCTGATGCAACCAGCTCCAGGTACTGTTTTACTTGGCTTCTTTGCTTTTCGTTGATTCCTTTGATGGCCCCAAACCATCGACTGATACCTGACCTGAATGGACTCCAGTGAAGTGATCCTGGAACCATACACTCGGTTTGTTTTGCAGGCTGCTGGAAAATGCGTTGGGGGTCCATCTTGGACTCCTTGTGTGGGCCTGATTTTGTGGGTGCTAATGTAGACTGGCGTTGTTTTTGAGGCCAGTTAGAGATCTGCCTGGAAAATGTGTTCCAGTCATCGAAGTGGGTGGTGATGCAGTGGTGGATGATGTTGTGATAGTGATTGACGCCGATGGCTCCACTGAGGAATCGGTCCCAGTATGTGGATGTGTGCTGTCTGTGTTGCTGTCCGAAGCGAGGGTGCGTTTTTGCCCCCGAGGCTCCGTCGTTGGGGATATCTCGACGGTAGGGGATCTGCCTGTTGTGGGAGGTGTTGTGGCGGCGGGAGTGCGTGGTAGGGTGGATTGCTGTGATGGTGGCTTCTTAGGTGTGCTGGGGTGGCCACCTGTTGATCCTGTTGCTTTCATTGTTTCGATGGCCTCCAAAGCTGAAGCGAGTTGCGCTTCTAAAACGCTGATGCGATGAGCGGAAAGTGGGTCATTCCCTTCCTTCTGCGACTCCTGAACGGGAAGACGTGGGCCCGTCTTGTCTTGTTGCTGTTCTTGTTCGGAGTCTTGCGATGTGTCTTCTTTGTTTGAGTGTTGTTGGCTGGCGCATGGTTCCATGTTGATGGAGTGTGAAGGGCATGAAATGTGTGGTGCATGGTGGTTTGGGTGTTGGGGGGTGGGGGAGGAGGTGTGCCTCCTGGCCGCATTGGCATCGATCTGTGAAGTGTGTTGATGGATGTGCCCATCATGCCCCTGTCGGCGGTGTTGGTGACCACCGTGGCTGTGTAGGCTGGTTCATCGGTATCTTGTATGTCTGCTGAGCGTGGATGTCAGTAGCTGCAAAAGGCTGCGGATTTCATGCAAAGGCGTGATCCTCACCACACTGGCGGTATGACGCTACACTACATTCAAGCTGGCTGGCATCTCTTTGGCTCAGAAAAGCAAGGTCGGAGCAAAGCTTAGTCGGCTCTAGCAGCCGGGTGAATCAAAAACCTGGCATCGGAAGAAAGCATCTGCAATGTTGATGATTGGAATGCTGATGATTGGAAGGGAAGATCTGAGAATTAAAACAGTAAAACATGGGATCTACTGAATGATGCCGAAGCCCACAATGCTGAAATGTCCAGCATGGAACCCCCATTTTTCTGGGGTTCTCACCATGCCTTTGCGGCCAACAATGAATGATTCCCGCCACATGTCTCTGTAAGAGATTTTATAGTGCTGGAATTTGCTTCGGACTTTGCCCCCGTAAACAAGGATGCCCTGCTGCCCCTTAGGTCTGCGAGTAGCCTGGTCCGCAACGATGTGAATGGTGCGCTCGCTGATCTCCCCTGGTGTAGCACTGCCATACACCACACATGCTGGTATCTCATTGTAGTTGTCGCCGAAAGTATGCTTGATCGAAGTGGGTCTGTAAAGATCCTCCAGCATTATTTTGGCAGCGGTGGCCATGTCTGTGCCGTGGGCGCACGTATACACGTATGTGTCGCCAGGTTGCTCCTGGCCCGTGCAGCCGAAAGGTCGGCGCTGCTCACCACGCCAGGGCACGAAAGAGCATCTGGTGCACACCATCGCTGATCGGTGTGACCACCGAATGTAGTTCCTCACAGGCTGTGCGGGTGCCAGACGACAGTACGCCGTAGGCAAACTCATGCAAGGTGTTGATCTTAATATCGGTGTCGGCCGCGATTTCGATCAATGTTTGAGCCAGCTTGGCAGCTTCCTCGAGATCAGCTGCATGGGCCGTGGGCTTCTGGTTCTCAAACAATTCCGAATGCGGAATAACATCCCTTTGCGGAGGACGCCGGTCCTTCCGCAACTGCTCAATGCTCAGCTGTGGTGCTGTGAGATCAGTCGGGCGTGGCCGCACGGCCGTAGCCGCAGGTTGTGGAGTAGGTGAAGGGGGAGAGGCTCCTTGTTGCTTGGGTGAGGAGGCTTGTCCACGAATCTGCTGAGCCACCCGCTGAAATTGCGAAGCGAGGCTGCGGGATGTGTCGCCAGTTTGGCGACGTTGCTGCTGTGGGACGGCTGGGGGAGTGGGCAATCGTTGTGCTTGCCGTGCTGGTGGAGTTCTCTCTCTCCGAAAATGCCATCGGTCTGTGTCACCTGCCTGGGCCTGGACTGTTGAGTAGCTGCGCAGCACCACGGTGGTAGTCCTGGCTTCCGAAGGCTCACGGCTCACGGCTGCTCCGGCTGCGTCGGTGTGTGTGTGTGTGGCGACGTCTTGTTGTAGACGTGCGGTCGCGACGGTGGCGGCTGTGGGAGCGCTGGTGTCGCCTGTGGTGTTTTTTGTGCTTTCGAGGGTTGCTTCTGCTAGCTGTTCGGGCATGGCTGCGGGTGTGGGAGCGATGTCTGCGGCGTGGAAGACGTGACGCCGGGCGAGGGCCGTCTCCCGACGGCCCGACGGTGTTGCAGCCTGCACGGATGTGCTTTGATCCCCCCACTGTCCGGGTAGGTTCTTGTGTTGCTGGGAGTGTATGGTAGAAGGGTCCGGTTGTGTGGATTGTGGGTGGTTGATGTGGTGTTGGATGTGGTTGGGGGTGGTTGCATTTGCTGTGTTGGCAGATTGTAAGTGATAGGGGTACCTTGTGTGGGGGGCTTGGTGTGAATGTAGCAGTTGAAACTGGTGTTGCGAATTGTTGCGCCATGTGTTGCCGTGGAATGGTAGGAGGTGTTTGTTGTGTGGTCGCAAGACAAGGTGTCATGTGTGATTGCAAAAACTGTTGTGGGGGTGCATGTTGTAATGTATGAAATGCCATAGGGTTTGGCTGTGGAATTTGCATGGGTGGATGGGTCGGCGGGTGTGCTTGCTGATGAAATTGAGTTGGCATCGTTGGCATGCCCTGGAAGTTGCCAACTGGTGGTATAGTTGGCTGCATCGTCGGCATATGCTGCAGCTGTGTCAAATAAGCTGGCTGTGCTGGAAAGGATGCAGGTTGCATCCAGGGCTCAGGCTGCTGAGGTTGCATAGGTGCGCGTGCAACCGGTGGATAAGGAGATGCCGGTGTCCATGCTGGCTGTTCCGGCTGTGGCTGATGAAAAAACGACGGCTGGTGGCCCATTCCTGCTGGTCGGTGGGCGGCGTACTGCTCGTGCCACATGTTGGTGAAACTTGAATACACGCACACAGCAAATCGTAAAGCTGCCAGTGCCTTGTTGTCTTGAGAGAAGTCGAGAAAGCAGAAGAGTGGCCAATTACTTCCCGCAGGAAGCTGCAGTCCCTTGCACTAGCCGAAAATTACTGCGCCTGCACTCATGTCAGTCGCACATGCCCTTGCATTCCCTGAGAAGGAACCGACAGAATAAGGACGACAGAATAGCGAGGTAGTCCTGTGCATTAGCGGCCGGTTACTGCACTAGACGCCAGTTACTGCGCCTGCACTCATGTCAGACTCGCATGCCAGCATCAGAAAGAGAGGGGAATAAGTAGCGTCGGGAGATCTGAACGTCTGAACGGAGGTCTGAACAATCCGGTTCATCACCGGTCTCCGACGAAGGGTCACCACGGCGCCTTGACGGAAAGCCGTTGCTCTGGAGTCTCATGACCCACGCTGATCACACTGATTGATTCGGCCAAGAGCAAGAGTGCAGAAAGGAAGGAAGAGAGACGTTGCACTTGCTGGTTGTGCATGTCAGATTGCGGCAAACGTGCGAAACAGTAATGTACTTGTCTAATCTGGACACCTCCGGGGGCCTGTCCTGGAGCTAATCTTGGCACCACAGGGGCCTGCCGAAAATTGTGCAGGTACATGACTGAGCGTCCTCAGTCACTTCCCTTCCAGTGACCTAGCTTCGTTGGATCAGGTCAATCACTGGAGCCTGATCCCCCTGCAGACAATCATGTGGTTTCAAAATGGCATGCGTCGGCAAATATTTGCAAAAGACGAAAGGAGTGACCCTCTGCTCCCCTGTGCTAGGGAGGTTCACACACACACACACACACGCACGCACCCACACCCACACCCACACCCACACCCACACCCACACCCACACCCACACCCACACGCAACACAGACGACACACAACACACAACGCACAACACACAACACACAACACACAACGCACAACGCACAACACACACACACACACTCACACTCACACTCACACTCACACTCACACTCACACTCACACTTACACTTACACTAACACTCACACTCACACTCACACTCACACTCACACTCACACACAACGCGCACACAACCAGCGCAAACGCCCACACAGAGTGCGCACATCTCGAATGGTTACCTATAAGACCACTATGTGTTGCACTGCTTTGATGCTGAAAAGAGTATCGCTGTCATGTGGGGTTATCCGGTCCTATAATTTTAACCATCTGCCTTGCTAATCAGTTTATCTACCTACACAATACAATATGTCCATCTACCTATACAGTATATCGGTTTCTTTGCAGACACATGTATTTGTTCACACGTACGACACCCTCTAAGTCCTTCTCACTTCTATGACCTCGAAGTCGTGACATCTGCTGTGGGGCTACGTGACATTTGACGGCAAGGATTTAGCAGACGCAGAGACATGGATGTTGTATCCAAGACACGGATCAAAGGACCGTGCTTCTGCCGCCTCGGAAGGGGCTTTGTTGGCCTGAGGGCCATCATGCCCTTCTGTTCTTGACGTCTACAGATAAGTTTACGCAAACAGACCTCAACACCCAGACAGCTCCGCCTCCGCATAGCGAAAGGAGAACCCCATGCAAGCAACAAGCCTCGTATCCCCGAAGACCTTTGCCCAGAACCAACATCCTTGAGTTGAAAAAAAATCCAAAAGAACACTGACTCTCAATATCCAACCCTCGAAGCAAAGGATTAATTGGCAACCAAACGACACCTTGGTAGCCCGCGTCGCCAGTCTCCCTCCTGAACATTGTCGGACCACCTTTGCGGCACGGAACCTACACACTGGGGGAGTTTAAGGCTGACTACCTTGGCCTTAGGGTTCAGATTCAGGGCGGGAAGTGGTTTGGAGTGGGAAGTGGTTTGGAGTGCGAGGTTGAAGGTCTTGGGATTTTGGTCGTAGGTTTTACGGCTTAGGGTTTGGGTCTTGAAGCCTGCAGGGCTTCGTGATTACATAGAAGCGAAGGCTTTCAAGAAGGTTCGACATTTAAGGACAGGCCGATTCTGAAGCTTTACGCCTTAAGGTCCAGGGTGCGCATGGATGGGGGACGTCTTAGGTCTAAGGTTGGGGTTGTCTTAGGGATTTCACATCGGCTGTACGTGGTTTCTAAGTTTCATGCTAGGCTCATGGCTGTGCTCAGAAGTCTGAACAAGCTGAAAGGTCATCGCTTCTTAGGAGTTTAGGGCTTAAGTTACCCCACTTCGCTTTGTTCGGAGCAATCTGTTACCCGTAATGATCCGTAATTAACAACCTATGCAACAACCCTGTTTCCTGGCTGCGTTACGGACTTGGTGCATTCCCATCATTTCCGGCTTAACTTTCGTGTTCGCATCGGCTATTTCCGGCTGCATATGCTTGGCTGCATAATGCATAAATGATGCATTTCCGCCATTTCCGGCTGCATTCCCATTTCCGTATCATTCACTTCTGGCGCCATGCCGGTCTGCAGAATTGACGTATCTCCATCAGTGCCGAGTTTGTTTCCTTTTCCAGTTTCGATCTTGGTAACTCAATTCATGAGCGTGAAATGTTCACCGCTTAATGCCCGCATCGGAAACTGTATAGCTCTTGCATTTCTTCTTTGTTTTGGTTCTTTATGGTTTACTTCATGATTTGCACGACTGACGCATTTCCATCTATTTCGTTCTCGGCAGGTTCGGTATCCGTTTTCGGCTGCACAACTGACAGATGTCCGTCATTCCGTGCTGGTATCGATTAATTCTGGCTTCACTTTGGGCTGCAGATCATACTTGCTGCATTTCCGATTTGGTCTCACTGTCTCACTCATTCCCGGCTTCATTTCTGGTTGCGCGGAATGGATGCACTTCCGTCATTGACGGCTACATTTCCGTTTCTTTTGGGTGTTGGAAGTCTTCCACCATGTCCGTCTTCATTTACTTCTTAGCATCGTTTACTTTCGGCCTTATGTGTGGCTGCATAACAGGTGCATTCCCGTGATTTCCTGGATCGTTTCCGTTCTCGTGTCGGTCGCAGCATTATTGTTGCATTGCTCTCAGTCATTGCAGGCTCTGAGCGGAATTGATGATGTAGTTCCACCATCTAGTGCCAGATGGGTGTTCGTGTCTGGTATTCCTGGCTTCAGTTTTGGCCGCACAGTCAGGCTGCTCCGTTATTTCAGTCTTTTGTTTCCGTGTTCTTCTCAGTATTAGGCTGCAAACTTGATGCACCTTTGTTATCTCCAACTTAATGTCCTAGTCATGCTTGATACATTTCCGTCATTTCCCGCTTCATTCGCGTTTTCGTATCGCTTGCTGCATGGCGTAACTGTTGCATTTCCGCATCGGTTTCAGTCATTTCCGGCTTATTTTGTCCAATTCTGCTTGCAGAATTGATGCATTGCGTGATTTCCGGTTTCAGCTCCGTTTTCCTTCTGTGTCAGCATCGCTTGGCTGCAAAATTTGCGCATTTCCATCGTGTTCAGTTCTATACATGCGCTCGTATTGATCATTTCTCGAACATGCGCACGTCTGCAAACGGAAACGAAGCCAGAAATAACTGATACGATCCTGGAAACAAACTAGAAAGACGCGGTGCAGCCAAAACAGAAATGAAGCCGGAAATGAAAAGACGCCGGCGACGCAAATACATCAAGTCGACACAAGCGCTGCTTTTTGCGGATGTTGTGGCCAGCCAACGCGTGTGTGAACGGGAGCTATCCTGCTTGCGCTTTGGTTCTGGTAATGCTTCTGTTTCATCTTTCATTTCCTTTCACACTCCGTTCCCCCCGCCTCAAGCGCAGCCCACCACCCCAAACATAATATAGAGCTTCGGCTTCAACCCAATTTCCCCCAACAATCCGCCCAGAAAAAACACCTCAAAACAACACAGGACCAACACATGTCGCCTGAAGGGGTTCTCCGGTTTAAATTAGGATTTTGGTGCAACCGGATTGCGCGGCCGCGCCAGACCATAATTATGCTTGCACTCATGTGACACTTATGCTGCACATCTGTACACTGCACAACCCTTTATGATGCTAATGGGAAAACCGTGTATATCTCTTCTGACATACTTTGGTCAAGGTGCTACTAAGACCTGGTGTCCAAGCTGTCGCTTAAGAAGCTGCCCGAAGCTCTGACCAAAGTCTTTATCTCCGAAACAGTGCCTGGAAGCTTCAATACTCTAAATCCTACTATGAAATCCTCTCGCTCCGAACCCTGGGTACTCTTAACCCTAATGTGATCTTTGAACCGGGAAAGCTCAAAGGAAAGCTCAAAGGACCTCGGAGCTCCGGTTCGACCGGCTCTGGCGCTTCCCGCCATCCCAGGGTCCTTTCTGAAAAACAAGCAGCACATGCAACTCTGATGATGCGCTCGCGAGTAGGTACACATTTATATAACACCTTTGCATATGCAAGTTCTGCGGCCAATGCGGGTGAAGATGAACATAAATCTGCTGCGGGTGGATGAGGCAGACAAGCAGAAAAAGAGGCACATAGGTATGTCAGACGTGCGTTGGGTGACATGGGTCAGTAGACATGACATAGTCGAATCGACAAACACACACACACACATGCAGGTGTGTTTGCGGCACGTGTCTGTCTACGCTCTTTGTCCGTACATACCTTTTGCCTGCGTGCATCTACTTTGTGAATTCCTGCACGCATACATGCGTGCACATTGTATTTATGCATGCGTATGCGTGCACAACACTCTGTTGGACCAAGGGCTGCGTCGACCAAAGCTACCAACAGCTACCGGCCTGGGCTGTTACCACAATGTAGCACCGGATGCTATCACCGTGCCCCGCCTGAGTTAGCATGGCAGCGGATGCATATGTTACATGCTGGTCCTCCGGGACAAGCCCTTGCGTCTATCTCGCCGGCTTCGTTCCCCAGATGGCACCAAACAGTCGGTCAACATGAGGCCGCCTGGCCTCCCTCATAACACGGGAAGCACCACTTTCAAAAGCAGGCTGGTGGCGTGGATGCGTGGAGGAGCGAGCTCTCTCCATCGGCATGCCCAGGCCCACACGGCCGCTGAGGAATCGCCAATCCCACCCTCAACCCAGAATGGTGAAGCCACGACGGCTCATCGTGGTCATGGGTGTGCAAGACGCAGGGTGATGATGTTTTGCTATTTTGGGGGGTGCGAGCTGTCTTGTCTGACGCCCTACAATGACATGGGTATGGCCAAACAGGAGCTTATAGTGGCCCAATGCATTCATAAGACCTTATGAAGGGAGTTAGGTGGCACTCCGTTCTGCCAAACAGCGAGAACTTATCGTTTTGATGTCTCTGCGTTGTGCCGAAGAAAGTTTCGTCTGGGATAGGAAGCCATCGCTCTCGTGAGAGTGATGCTGGGCATCTTGCATCCTTGTTCAGGCCCAGCCATCCTGAAGGTCTCTATCCTGACATGCCAGGGCCGTTGGACTTCACACTCGGCATTCCTGGTAAAGGGGTAACAACGTGTAGGGCAAGGAGCTCCCCAACGGTAAAAACGGCAAGCTCTCCAGTTAGCACACACGGGTGCCAGCAGCAGCTGGGCGCCAAACATGCCATGTCAAGGCTGCCTGTGAGACGCTGGGAGTCGCTCTCCAGACTACGGATGACTCTAGAACTCTAGGGTTGACGTAAGGGCATCGGCTGGTGCTTCTGACTCGCTTGAACCATTGCCCGCGTGGCTGGTTTCACTAGGCTTATCTCTAATCGAAGGTGGGGCATTTTTTGTGCAGGAACACGTCCACCGGATTCTCAGCAAGCAGAATGATCTGAGATGTGCTGCAAGAAACCCTGCGCGCTCGCCTGCATGCCTGTATTCACGTATCTAGAGTTGCATCTATGTGTACATGTCTGCACATGTGGAACAGAGAAAATCAGCTGAAACTATACCAAAAAGGATGCTTCGGATGCACGGATGATGCTGTCGGAAACCTCAAGACGTCCGGGCGGAATTTGAAGAACCAAGGCTTCCAGAACGAGCCAGGCAACCAGGGCGACACCCGAACAGTTGGAAGGACTCTTGCAAAAGGAAGAAGCGCCAAAAGAGCCGTCAAGCCGCAGTTTGCTCCTACGTTGACAGTACAGTACTTGGAGGACGTGGTGATGGGCTGCCACCTAAACTTGTGAGCTCATGATCCGGAAACTTAAATCCTGAGCGGCGGGGACCAGATAACACTCGAAGTCCTGGCGTCGTCTGCAGGTGGCTCCAGAATGTCCGTCAGCAAGCGGACCTTTTGGAGACAGGCCCTCAACTTCAAGATTGCATCCATACGCTCCACGGGAGTCGTTGAACCAAACACAGTACCCATCTCGTGTGATCACTGCCATCGCTACCAGCTGCCGGCAGCACTACCACCACAACTACCACAGCCCACACTACAACAGCCCGAACCCTAAGCCCGAGGCCGTCCGCCGGCACAGAGCTAGGGCTCTGGCATGATCCAGGAGTTCGGCCTTGCACACGAGCTGCACTCTTGCGCGGTTTGCTTGGGCTGTGGCTGCAAGCTTCAGGATCAGGAGTTAGGGTTTGGAGCCATGTGGCGTTCAGAAAGAGATAGAGTCCAGGGTTTCTGGTAGGCACGGGAGGCGGGAGGCGGTGGGTTCAGCTCCACCAGCATCAAAATATCGGCATAGCCCTGCGCAGAAGGGATAGTTTTTCACACGGGCTATGCCGAGGCTTCGGGCTGTAGGCGTCTGGGCATCAATGTACTGAATGTTTAGGATTCAGTCTTGCTTTGGATTGAAGGCTTCGGACCTGAGTGTTGGGCCCAGGACTTCATCTTTCGGTTTGTTTAAAGTATCAAGCTTGGACTCGGAGATTGAGAAAAGTCCTGAGGTGTAGATTGTCAGGTTCAGTGTTTGCATGTGTTTTCACTTCCTCATGCAAAGCCAGGTCCCAAACATACCAAGCCCCTCAGCACGAGCTTCTCGGCCCTTAAGGCTCACATCCGGAGACCCTCAAACCTTCGACCCAACAACCTTATCGAATCTGAATCCTGAGACCCTCAGATTCTCAAACGCTCACCCCATGATCCCGAGCTCCAAATCCAAATAATGCCCCCAAACTTGTCCCTGAAGCCCACTGAAGCCGTCAAGCCAGAGCAGAGAGCCTGCGCACGGACCTCGGAAGTGAGCCTACGAACTTCCGCCGACAGAGCCTGGCACGTATAGGGCTGCGGGTTCCGCCCAGAGGCTTTGGAGCTTTTCGGATTTACAGTACGGACAATTACCAGTAGCTACAAATAGTCTTCACCCAGAGTCTCCATGCAGCTCATCGTTGTCATACACCACAAAGGCCCTTCTACCGTGAACTTACTGGTGTGGGGCGTTTAGGGCTTTCTGTAGGTTGAGGCTGGGATTGTCTTCTTCAGGCACCTCCTCCAAGCTGGCCCCTCTCCGAAACATCACCCCAAAAGCGACGCCGAGGCATCAATCTCAAAGTCAGAATAAGAGCACGTGTTGAAGACACAATCCGCAAAATCCACAAGCAAATGCACGAGCCCTAAAACCTGAAAGCGAACAGAAGCTCTGAATTTTGCACATCAGAAGCAAGGCCCTTCAACCGTCCGACAGCTCAGAACCTCCGCTTGAAGTCCAAGTCAAGACGAATCCCTGAGCCCAAACCCCCTTTCCATCTCTCGGGCCTCCCAAGGCCTTTGTTTCCCACTTCCCAAACCCCTACTTCGGCAGCACTTGCACACAAAAACTAGGCCTTGACTTTCGAAACACTCTGAATACTTAAACTCTCTGAATCCTCAGCTAAGTCCCAAACCCAAAATGTGGGGACCTCTAATCTCTCCAGCGCCAAATCGCCCTCAGCCGCCCCACGGGAGGCTTCCTCCAGGGTGGATTCAACTGAAAATTCTAAACCCTAATGATCACGGATTCTTGAGTTGAGGAAATGCATTTACATGAGGGTGATGACGGCGGCATAGGGAGCACTACCCACGAAGGCCCCTCTCTGAAACCCAGATCCCCAAAGAGAAAGAGACGAGAAGCCCGAATCCTTCTATCTGAATCGGAACAGCTGCCACGCCGCCAACCAAGGTGATGCTCTACAAATCTGAATCATGAGATACCCGCATACGGGACGCTGCAGTCTACAGTTCCAAAGTTCCAGGAACGAACACATTTGGCCATGCAACCCTGCACCCACAGCCATACAACCTTGTCTCTTTGACTCTATGCCACACATCACCGGATAAAAGTTTCGTCGTACTAGCATGTGTTTCGCTGGTGGAGGACTCTCAGCATACAAGGAAGTGTATTTTATGTGGCCTGTGGAGGAGTCTACTGGGGAAGGGGGTGCACAGGTACATGTTGGCGGAACTGCCGGATGCGACGAACTTTAGCGATCTTTCGTCCCGGCACACTCCTCACACCAGAAAAACCCCAAAGCGCAGGCACTCGCGAACCCCAAGCTGCAAACCGAATCCTGAAGCCGCACGCACCAGCCTCCCAACAGATGCGGAAGCGTTCAGACGACCGGTGGCTGGGGAGGCTTGTAAAGCCTCGGCTTGGTGGGGGCTTGGCTCAGTGCTCGGTGCTTTAAAGAGTTGAGGGTTTGGGGTTTTGGGAGTTCCAGGTCGGTTTAGGGTTGAAGAGCAAGCGTGTACGATGTTTTGCCTGATGTTCAAGGTTGTACTGCTTTGACATGGGCTTGAGGCTTGAGTTTCGGGGACTGCCTACGGCAACGCACTCTCTCAGAAATGAATCGGAAACACTTCCGAGCCTCAATTTGGACCCTTCAGCCACCAGCCCGGACCTCTTCCTTGATCAGGGGTAGGGCACCACCAGATTGCATGCGGCATACCATCACTCGTCCGGTATTGCTAAAGTGAATGCTACCGTCGTCTCCACTATCTCACTATCACGATTCTAAGGTTGTCGCATCCTTGCTCAAGTTGCTGCTGCAGTTGCTGTTGCTCTCTTTCACACGCAGGGTCAAGCATAACCTCGCAGATGAGGACAATGAGGGCATGCAGGTTTCGGCCTAAGCGTGCTGCCCAGAAGACCTGCAAACCTTCAGCGCGGAGCTCCCTGCAGCCTGAACCTCGAAATCCTCGAAATCTTTACGGAATCTGCTCTACACGCTGGACCCTTCCATCCGGCCATGCCACGTTCGCGCAACGCTTCCTTCGCAAACCTGGGCGGCAATGCAGGCGCGGTTGATGGATCAGCGTTCCTTCAGCCCCAACCTCACAGGCCCAAGCTCTGACGTGCAGGCTTCGGAATCCGGGCTCAAGGTTACGAGGTGTTGCGGTAGGTGCTAGTTCACAAGTGTGTGGGTCGTGACGTTTCGGGTTCGAGGTTACGGTTCGGGCTCAGGCAGTACACCTTCAATCAGCTATCAAAGGAATCCAGCACTGTCTGGGGTTTAGGGCTGCCTGTAGCTAGACCATGAGCCCTCCGACCCCAGGCACCACCACGCTCTGCAACCCCAGCCCTTAAGGCTCGAAACCATACCCAACCCATTCAGTCTGGGGTCGCTTTGGTGTGTCCCTTCTTAGGTAAGACAACCCTCGTCGGACAAGAATCTCCAACAGAAAGACCCAGTTACCAGTCTGCCATCTAAGACTGTGGGAAGCTGACCAGAATCATCACAAGGAAAGGAAACCAACGCCAGACTCTAGACTCTAGACATTTCTCTGCCGTGCCTTCGGGTTTCTTTCTGTGGACGATTTAGCCCTTAATACGCGTTGAGCGGCTGTAGCTCCGCCATGGCCTGCAGCTTCTGCACCTCGCAGTCGCGCTTTGGTCACGGGGCTCACGGTGATATGAGGGCTAGTATGCCTTGAAAGCTAAAGTGCCACTTCTCAGTAGCTACACCTGTCATGGTTCTGCTGCTCTGCTTGCGGAGCCAAGTGGAGTCTGGCAAAGTGTCATGAAGGGCATGCTTTCGGCCCATCATGGAGCTATGGGACAGTCACACCCAACCCATCACGGTCTGAATGCCCAAAAACAGCAAAACCTTTGGGCACATCTTCAGCTCAACTGTCGATGAAACGAAGGTCACGCAAGACGTTCGGAAAGCGCTCGGGATGTTCAATCAGTACCTGCAGGAAGCACGAAAACCGACATTGGGATGTATCTTCATTCACCGACAAAAGAAAACTGAGTGAGGCTGCCAGCGTCCCACCTGCGGGACATCCTTCTTGCGGAGCTGGGACCTCTTGATCCTTTTGTCATACTTGCTCGGGTCGGCATAGAACTTCGTCTCGAGGAAGTGTCGTAGCGAGTCCTCATCGTGGAACTGACTGAACCATGGCCGAACACCTCCCGCCGAGAGGAAGTTTTTGTGAGCGACGCCCGCGGCTCCATCCAAGCTCCAACCCACATGCCAGCCGATTGGCCGCTGGTCCCGAGCGCGGAGCAAGTTTCGAGGCTTGTAGACAGACGACATGTCAAGCAGTGCCGCTTGCCCCTCCAGGCCACTGTTGAAGAAGAGGTTCCCCTCCAGCAATTGCCGGAAGAAGAAGACTGGGGTGGAAGGCTTCCAGTGACCAGTATTCCAGGCCAGCCCGTACCAATAGCTTGTCATGTTGACTCGAGCATCCCACCTGCCACCGGCAGGCCGGCAGTGCTTCAGGGCCCGGAGGGCGTCCTGGCTGAAGATCTCGTCCAAGTCCCCATACAGAATAACATCTTCTGGGTCATACTTCTTGTCCACCTGCATCTCTTTATTCATGATGCGGTTCTGGAGATCTTGCATTTCATAGCCTCTGGGATGATGGCCTTGTGGTAGGTGATCTTCTCCCTGAAGGGATCAAAGCTCTTGGAGCGGAGGACCGACTCCAGTCCATAGCCTTTCTTTCGTCCCTGAGAGTCCCGATCTCCCTCTACGATGTGGAACTCGTCGACGAGAGGACTCATCTCAGAAACCCGGAGGAGCAACTCCTCGGACTCGTACTTGTCGACAAAGGCAAAAGTGTCGATCAACTTCGCGGGACTGCGAGGGGACAGACCGATCTCTTTAGAGTCCTTGTCAACAAGCTGCAGACTCTCGCAGATCGAAGACCCCGGCTCGCGGGCCACGGCGTCTGGCAACTGCAGCTGCACACATTCGTCCGTGCCGCTAGACGCAGACCTTGCAATGAACCTCACAAGCAAGCAGTAGCGAAGCAGGTGAAGTCCGGCCGCCAGCGACATGAGCTCTTCCCACAGCCTGGAAACACGAACCGCAGGAGTTGGATAGGGATACGGTGACGACAGCAACTCTGAAGCCAAAGACAGGCGGATGCAGCTGTGGTGTTGAAGCAGTCGATTCCGCACTTGAGACACACTTCGCCTGCAGACTGTCACAACATGCGCTCTGGAGACTACCAGAAAAGAATGAACAGAAGACAAGGTCCTCCTGTTGAGCGTCTTTCTTGTAGCTGCTGCTTATTGCTGAACTCTTGCGTCGTAACAGGCTGGAAGTTCAGGGCGAGGCATGGCGAGGCTCTGAGCTTGTTTGTAAGCGTCTGCAGCCGGGGGATGTGGGTTCAAGGCCTTCCCGCATCTACAAGTACGACTTGCTCGCAATGGCGTGCCATTTCCTGGCTCCTCTCATTGTATGTGAACGACCGAGAATCTCCGCCTGGACCTGCTCCCGGAACTCTTCCAGAAGTTGCGCGCGAACCGCCTTCGAAGCTTCGAGGTCCAGAGATTTTATTTGTCTAACGAGGGTTTCCTGGAATCTGGGCCCCACAGCGTTGAGAGGTTCAGAATTGAAGTTCTATGCTATTTTCCATTGTTCCATGCCGTTGTCAACATGCTTTTCTAGACTCCGAAAGCCGGGCTTCGATACGTCGCTTGAGTCAAGTGTACTAGACCCCCCAACATCTGGTGGGTTTAAAGGCCGGGAGCCTACCCTTAACTTAAGATCGATCCGATAAATCCAACAACGGATCTTTGCTCTGCAGGCCCATCGGAGGGCAAGACCTTCTACTCTAACAATGGGTACACCACCTCACTTCAACCTACCTGCACCTGAAGCTCAAAAGTTCTAAGCAGCGTAAATCTCGAAACCGCGCACCAGAAGGCCGAAACCAAGACTCTCTCAAACCCAAAAACCCGTAAACCTCAAAGCTCTATGCCAAGCCGCACGCACCCGAACTCCAAAAGCAAAAGGCCTCGAGCTCGGCAGCAAAGTTTGCTCGCAGCTCCTGGAACTCCAGCTCAAAAAGAGATCGGATTGATGTAAAGCGTGGATATGTATGACCAATTCAGGGGTGTGCAACATACAGGCTTTAGGGATGTTGGATTCTTGCGCTTGTTTACGGTATGAGGATTCGGGTCCAATGTCCGAGAAAGGTACTCAATCCGCGACCCACTTCGCGCTCGAGTCGCGAAGTCTGCAGCATGAAAACAAGCAGACCCTCTGCATCACAGCGTAAACAAAACCATAGCGGCTGCCACTCTTAAGCCACGTTGATCCACATCGAACCCCTTGACACGCCCCTACTCCCTTCATTCTAAGGGACCTCAATCCTCTTCACCCTCAAGCTCCCCAACACCATGAACATGCAAAAAAAACATGCGCCCCGACTGTGAACAAAATGAGCTACCCAAAACTTCCCTTCGAGTGTCCGAGTGAAAGCGCTGCAAGAGCGGCTCCTCACTGGTTTCCGGGGCTTCTAGCAAAAGGGTATATTCCACTGAAGTTTATGCGGGTTTCGGGTTGGGGAGGCCTCTTTGGGTTAGGATTTCTGTAGGATCGGGGTTGGAGGCGTACTTTGGAAGACCGGTCAGTCCACCCTGCATAGCCGTTGGGTTGCGAAAATAAAAGTGCGAGTCGTGCAGCATAAGCTATTTCGCAGGTATATGTTTTTACATAAAGCTTCCCGGGTACTGAGGAGTCTGATTACTAATGCATGCGGCTTGGAGTAACAAAAACTCATATTTGAGGACCTAAGGTTCTCCGGGAATGGTAGCACAAAGATCACAGCAGTTCGCTCCTCTCGCGTGAGGGACTGCTCGAGGTGTGCAACCCTGGCGAACCGAGCGACTTTCCAAAATGGATTTGGCATTTGCCGCTTTGAAATTGCCAGACTTGGAGATTCGATGCAATTGGTTTCGGCTTTAAGGATTTCGGGGTCGGGCTCCGTTTGAAGAGGCCCGAGTCTCGGTCTCAGGATTAAGGGCCGTGGTTTTTCGGTTGGCATGTCTCTGCAATGAAACCATCACACTCACTGGTTTCTGCGAAAGACGCACGACCTAAACGAACGAATTGCTGCACGAATTTGGGTGTTTATGAAGCAGTTTTAACAATCCCGGATGGAAACACTGAAAGCAAAATCTTTGCGATGAACAACGCACTCTAATGAAAATCCTTAAACCCTAACCCTGACTTCCCACCTGACTCTGAACCTTCAACAAAGGCTCCTCGTCCTGACTAGTGCTTCCAAACAGACGCAGCCAATCCGACACCGGTACCAAAATTCGCTTTCCCGCGTCTACCACTAACAACCTCCTCCTCTTCCTGTCCTCCTTTTCCTCTCGTCCTCCTCTTCCTCCTGCTCCTGCTCCTGTTCCTGCTCCCTCTTGCTCCTTCTGCTCCTTCTGCTCCTCCTGCTCCTCCTCTTCCTCCTCCTCCGGCTCCTCTCCTCCTGCTCCCCCGCCTGCTCCTCCTCCTGCCCCTCCTCCTGCTCCTCCTGCCTCCTACTCCTCCTGCTACTTCCACTCCTCCTGCCCCTCCTCCTCTTCCTGCCCTCCTCCTCCTCCTCCTCCTCCTCGTACTGCTCCTCCTGTTTAAGGTACACTCGCGCTGCTCTGGCACTTTAGCTCTTTTTTTGGCCGTGTTGGATCTGTAGGCAGATGCGACGACAAGTACCCAAGCAATTTAAAGTAGCTGCATGGGCAAGTAAAAACTTCTCGACTAAACTTTGTGAGAAGTTGAGTGAACCAAGTATGCTTGATTGAATTAAGGCTGGGAACTCCGAGGTTTTAGGTAGGCTTGCACTGCTCTAGCACATCACTCTCTCTTTTTCACCATATTGGATCTGTAGGCTGTGCGGCTAGCAGGGAGGGGACAGAGGCTGCAGGGCAGAATCTGTCCAAAAAGAAAACCCCCTGCTAGGCTTGGTGAGAAAACGAGTGAGAAGTTACGCAATAGGCAAAGGCTGAGGCAACTGTTTTAGGCATGAGACGCACTGTGGTGCATAGGCTAAGGCAGGCCGTGGAGCCAGAGCCCTGCAAGGCAGAGGGCACCAAGGGATCGGAGACCAAGGCGGTCGGGTGTGACGGGCGGCCGAGGCGGCCCCCGGGCGTGAAACTCGTGCAAAGGCAAGGTGTGAAAACTCACAGTGGCTGGTCAGTGGGCGGCACGTGCGAGGTCGTGAAGCACCTGATCAGGCGGGGTTAGGGCGAGCAACCGAAGGGGTTCGGGATTAAGCTGCGAGCGGCTTGATGGCAAAGACGTGGAGGACCTGAGCCAGGGTCAGACATGTAGTGTGTGAGCATGCTGAGGCAAGAAATGAGCAGAAGGCTGCTGATCTCCAGCCGAAAGTGCAGAAGTAGTGGACAACAATCGAAAGGTTTACCAGTGGTATGCCGCTTCACAGACTTGGTAATTTGGCCAGAAGTACAAAGCACTTTGCATTTCTCCACAGCAATGCAAAACACCCCTCCGTTCTCAGACGCAGAAGACACAAGTGCTAAATCGAAAGCGATGCCATTTATGAGCCTCAGCGGTGGTAACTTGTGCAAGCTCAGCAGACGGACAATCGGGACAGGTACTGGAGGATGCGGACACTGGCGAAGAGATGCGCCGGCATCAGATCTTGGCTCTCGACCAAGCCAACAACCGATTATGCCGTCATTGATGTCTGGCATCAGAAGTTACTGAGGGCACGATTGCAGGAAGCGCCTGCGGGGCACGTGCAAGCTTCAAGCAGCTCTTGCGAGCCGACTGGACCATCAGTACCATGTCCAGTGAGGACGTCTGCAACAATGGCTGCCACTGGCACTCCTCTCAGTGGAGAATCTCGTGATTCGTGTTTGCCACCGGAAGCTCTTGCCGAGTTGCACCACAAACATCTTTTTTTAATGCAGCGAGGGTGGTGTCACTCTTTAACCTGCTGCTGCGAGCCGATGTTCACGTCTTTCGTACACGGCCTTATCAAAGATCTGAGACACCTGCGAGGCCTGGCGCATGTGCTTCAACCCGGTTACGGCAGCCCTTGCGGAGCTATGCGAGACCCTACAACGTGTTCCAGAGGGTCTGGTCTATGACCTCGGCCGCAGGTTTGGTGGTGGTCCCTCACCGATAGCAAGACCTGCTGCCTCCGCTTTTACAGCACACTTCTCCCAGTGCAAGTTCTGATGTACGTCACGGACATCTGTTGGACGAGCCGACTGGCTTCCTCCACTTGGAAATACAGTTCGTCTACAGCGACGACGATCAACAAGCCAGCACGGAGAATCGTGCCAACTGCATGAGCATACTCCGCAGGAGTGGGTTGGGGGTTCGGACCTGAACCTCAGGTTCGCAGGTTCTGGTTCAACCCAACCCTAACCTGAGGTTAGGGTTGGGTTGAACCCAACCTCAACCGCGGGTTGTGGTTGGGGCCAACCCCAACCCCAACCCCGGGCCCCGGGGTTGGGTGTCAGCACCAGGCACCCGAGCCATCTAATCACGGCTCGAGAGGTCGAAAGTGGCAGTATCAGTATGTTCCGGCTCCACGGTGATCTCCAAACTTCGAAGTGAGGCCAGCAGGAGGTCGATCCTCTGGTGGAGCTGGATCCAAACCTTCAACAGGTCGACGTGTAGTCGCAGCTCGTCCGTGTCACTATTCATCGGGCGGACCCAAAACTTGGGCCGACTCAAGACAGATCACTTTGTGAAGACGGGAACGAATCACTTACAGTGGTTCGATTGGCTCGCACTCGGTCCTTTTGTCGTGCATGCGGTCAGGGGCCAAGGCCAGTCGCTACTCCGGGTTCAAAAATTTCGGTCAAGGCTGACATGCACTTGCCACCTTCTGGTAGCTGTGCGAGGCACCGCACTGGGAGCAGAAGGTGCTCTGGACACGGTCAAGGTGCTCAAACTGAATCGGGCGGTAGTTGCATGATATCACGCGCCCACAAGAAAGCTCGCAGTCCTCAGGCGACGAATTGTGGCATCCTCCCCCTTGTTGTAAACAGCCAAGTAGGCGGTAAAGCCTTCACTGCTTCCAAAGCCCATTGCTGTTCTTCAGCCACAGCCATGTTTCTGCCTTGAGCCAAAATATGCACAAATCATGCCGGACATGACATGGCCTGACCTCACTGACAGTGGTGGCAAAACAATTGAACAAGTAACAGCCCGAACAACTGCACTGGAATTTTGACATGAATGTCACAATCGTGCTTGCCCCCATGCAAAAAGCCAACATATCTATACACATGGCAAAGGAAGAAGCTGTTATTGAGCGATGCTGCTGCAATTCTGCAATACAGCACAAATAGGGTATTGAACTTGCTTGTTCCTATATACAGTTGTTCAAAACTTGTCACCTGTGCTTGTCATTCCTTTGGCTCTTCCTCTTTTTGGAGTCGGTGTTCTTATGCTTCAGAAGCTGCAACTTGAATTTAGTGTGCACACCTTCGCCACTGGCCGGGGTTGGCAACTGAGATTCCGACCGGGTTGGACTCAGAGCCAAACCCCCAGAAGAGCTCGAAGCAGATGCTGCTGCTGTTGCTGCTGGAAGAATCAAGTCCGGAGGATCACAAGGGCTCACACTCGGCAAGAGCCAAGCTGCAGTTGAATCGGAAGGCAATGGAATCTCAGAACTCAACTGCATACTCTCCACAGCACCTGCTCACGATGTCTCCACTGACGTGTCTCCTTCAGGAGCTGTTGTGTAGCTGACACCCTCCGGGTTCGGGTTGGCCTCTGGGTTCGGGTTGGCCTCCGGGTTCGGGCTGTCTGCACTTTGAGCAGCAGGCCACGACTCATTCCAGTCATGCCTAACTCCAGTTCCAATAGTAGTCTTTCCAGCAGTCGTCATATGTCATCCTCTGGTGTTTACTCTTTTGTTCAATCGGACGGTCGTGTCCGTTGGCTGGGCCTCGACAATGTCCGTTGGCTGGGCTGTATCAACTCCTTCCGTTTGCTGGGCGTCAAGATCGCCACTGTAGTCCTGCCACCCACGACCAGTATTGAAAGGTCTTCCAAGGACAAGGCTTGTGGCCAGCTTAGAGAAATTGTACGGTGAGCTGGAGGCGGGACGGGATTTCCCACTCGTGTCACTTGTGTTTGTCTCTGACGCCGAGGCTGGGTACCTCAGTCAATTGAGCCAAAGGGGACTCTTGGTGCTTCTCTGGATGCTGACGAGGCTCAGGCCAAGTATCCGGCTCAGCCATCTCCGCGACTTGTCAGATGTTATTGCCACGACATTTTGGAGATCAAAGGGCTGGTCGGCTTCTAATTCTTCTTTGCTATTCATAAGAACATTCAATTGTGACTTGATCTTTGGCTGTGCAGGTGTGATATCCTACGAAGACTTGCACATGCGGTTCCAGACGGCATTTGGTCGTGTCCGACAGTGCGAACCACAGCTCATGGAACAGTTGGCGTCGAAGTTGCCCCTCAATTCGACAGACGCTGCGGTGGAGGAAATTGCTCGCCCGCTGGGCTGGCACGACTCATTTATGAAACCTGTCAGCATATGTTTCCAGGCTCAGGCGACATTGGCAGGAAGCTGCAGGGAGGACCGAAAGCAGCAATGCCGCCAGCAAGTGCCCACCCAGCACCTGTGGCAGTAAGTGCAAGTGCAAGCCCACCACCTGCACCGGCAAAGGCACCGCTGCCGGCACATGCCAAAGCTGTCACACCTGCCCCGATCCTGGTCCGAGCAACGTCTGGGCCACCTCAGCCCGCAGCCCCTGTAGCACCCCGGGCGCCCCCTCCGCCCAAGCAGGCCGGCCATACAGCAATGCCTACGGCCTACAGTGCCTTCGGCACAACCATCAACAAACACATCCCCTGCTATGGCTCCCAAGACTGTGCC